TATCTATCTATCTATCTATCTATCTATCTATATGTGTGTGTGTGTGTGTGTGTGTGTGTGTATGCGTATTATGTGTTATGTATAGAATATCTGCATATACATATGCATATACATATAATACTATATATATATATCCATAGATAGATAGATAGATAGATAGATAGATAGATATCTACATCCATTTCTGTCTATCGCTGTCTCTCATCTATATCACTGTCTATCACTGTCTATGGTGTATCCATCCATTTCTGTCTTTCTATCATTCATCTATATATCACTCTATCCATATCTCATTTATCTACCATCTATCATTCAGCTATCCATCCATCCTCTATCGTCTGTCTGTCTGTCTATCCACTGCGGGATGTAGGCTTCTTCTGCATGTTTCCAACCTATTCAGTCCTGCGTGTATTAATCACGAAGAGGGCTCACCTTGAAAAATTAGTCAGGTTTCTCGTGCACTGGGGAAAAGAAGGGTTGGTAAGAGCCACAATGCCGTGTCTGTTTTCTATCAGGTGACTCTTGAGCGAGTGTTGGGAATAACTGCTCAAACCAGCAATGGCTTAACTTGTGACCCAAACTCAGGACAGGTTGCATATCCAACAGGGTAAGTCCTTTGCTACCGTGGAGTGAAACTCTCAGATGCACCATAGAAATTACTACACAAATAAAATAGTACACAGGGTTAAAGGCAGGCGGGGTGGAGGGCGTGCTCTGTACATCTGTTTTCAAATTTTCGGGGGTAGGAAATGCCTTTGTATCCTAGCCCCTTAAACCATGGTTTATACCAAGAGCTGTGGTGACAGTGACATTTTTCTAACAGTCGTGAATGCTGGAATGGCAAGGGGTTGATGCAACTTTTAATTTAAGCTAATGTATTAGATGTGCTTATGTGCTCCTTTTCATTACCCAAACTAGATTCTCCGTGCTATTTGGTCCCTGTTTCATAGCCAGAAGAAGAAAGTTATCCGCCATTAACCTTAATATTTTTCCATAGTTTATCCTCACAAGAACCCATCCGGTAATCCCACAGGCTCCTATGTTGTCTGTCATTTTCTTCTGCAGCTCTCAAAGACGTTTGCAAGCATTTCTATTAGTGTATATTGGTGGTGGAGGGACCCTTTGAGAGCTGTATACAGTGAAATTTCATTATAATGTATGCCGATTAGTGTGCATTTAAAGTGACAATAAAGTTATTCTAAGTTCCTCCCATTTTAAATAAAAATGCCAGTTCCCTTTAGGGCGCAAGCAGGGAGTGTGTTTAATTTTCATTACAGTTTCATTGAAAGGGGTCTATATCACAAATCACATTTATTGCTTGTGTTGACTGTTGAGGAAAAAAAACATAATTTAACTGACCTAATTCAGTTCTGATATACGATTTAAATGAGTTTCCAGGTTTTTCTTGCTCAAGGCCAAAGGCTCAGCCTGGTTCCCTCTTAGTGTCTTTGATTTAGTGTTTTTCAAAGCAACAGGACTGCCCCCCCCCCCCCTGAGCTATCGCCTATGAGGGGTCCTCCTCAACCCCCCCCCCATC